ACAACTATGTTATGATTTTTTAATACCAACACCGAGTCCTTTCATCCTTTGAATCCCTTGTGATCATTTGGTAGAATTTCTAGTTTAGTGCACGTAAGAGTCTAGAGTAATATTATATCCCACGCAAAAGTCAATGAAAATAAGTCTATTTGATATGACATCTAAAAAAATTAGATTATGTGACGTATTATTTGAGTTTATTTTAAGACAAAATAAGTTAATATAACAAATGTTATTTTAATATAACTTCTCGTATATAGAGCATCTCTAATAATAAAACTCCACCAACCCCCCTTTTATATTTTCAACCTACCACATCACACAAAATCTTAAAATCTTATTCTCACTCTTAAAACCAAAAAACCTAATAACCATAAATCTCTTTTTTAACGGGCTCCACATCTTCCCATTTATTCATTTTAATATCATACTTTTATATATTAAATAACAATCCACTATAAAACTATATTTATTCATTATAAAATTATATATGTTCACTTTTAATTTGCTCCACGTGAGGTTTGGTTGAGATTTGAAAATACAAACCTAGTTTACAAATCCAAACTTGAAGCTCTTGCTTCTAATAGCAAACCTTACAGGTTTGTATTTTCAAATATGTACAAGACCTTCTATTAAATATGCTCTTATAAGACCCAACATTAAAACTTTTATGACATGAATGGGAATTGCAAAACACATCTTCATTGCATTAATCATTCCATAACTAATAATAAATGAATTTCTGATTCTCATATCTTTAAGATTCAATTATTCAACAAAAAAAAGAATAATAATAAAATTAATTATATAATATATACTATAGTACATGATTAAATTATATTAAACAAAATAATTGAAAAAATAAATTTCAAATAAATAATTAAAATAATTAATTTTTATTTATTATTTATATTTTAATTAGGTATATTAAATACTCATATAATAATAAAACTTTCACGAAAAAATGCATTTATGAATAATTTAGAAAGATCTTATCTTATTTTTATATAATCATATATATTATTCACAAATTGAATTATATTATAAAAAAATGAATCTAACCACCTATGTTTATAGAGGTTTAGGTAATGATATATTTGTACTAGTTAATATGTATATAAATACATAATGCACTTAGTTATTATATAAGGTAAGTGCAATAATACAAAAATATATTTATTAACATATAGTATATTTTTTTAAAATAAATTATTTTATTATTATCATCAGTAAGAAATAATATTAATATAAATATTAATTTTTTTATATACTACAGTGATAAATGATAACCTAGGATGATAATGTCATTTCATTCAGGTCTTATTCATTGTGCATATTAAATATATCAGTAGAAAAACTTATTTTATTCATTTTTCATAATCATTTCATTCCGTTCTTCAACTCATTCCGTTCATATTAAATTTTATTCCATTATACTAATCATGTTGTTACGAAAAAGTTTTGTAAAAGGTTCTTTTTATTTTTAGGCTTATTCACATCATTCTAATAGTTAATATATTCCTATGACATTTAAACAATAATATTCCTTTACTATTAGTGATGCTTCAAAGTTTTCTTTTGAACAATTCAATTTATTTTACTACAGCAAATATAAGTTACCAATTTATAATCGATGAATGCGCACCACAAAGCTAAGATTGAAATTCTGGTGCTTATATCTATGGAATGAAAAAGAAGAAAAAAAAATGCTCGTTGTAAGAAAACAAAAGCAAGTTGCATCCTATTCCTCACCAACTAATTAGAAGTACTGTGCATAGTTCAATTGTAGAGTTAATT